TAAATCCAGCTATGTGGACTTCAACTCCCAGAATTCCCCAGGCAGCATGGCTGTTGCTGAGATTTCTGGGAGTTGAAGTCCAATCCAACTGGAAAGGCTCCCCACACCGGGAAATCTCGCTGTTCGCGAAGCAGGCTGGAAGGAAAAGGATCCATTCCGAAGGTTTAGCAGGGACAAAGTTGGGATCTCTTCAGTGAAGTTGCCACTTTCCCCTTCAAACTTTTGGGGAAAGCGCAGACCACGTTTTTCTTGGAGAACCAATCCACGTTGCCTTCCTGGGCCCAGTTGAAGAGAGTCTGCAGGCGGCAGTCACATGCCCATGGGTTGCCGGAGAGATCGAGACTGAACTCGGAAGACACGTTGACCAAGGGAGCCTCCAGGGAGGTGATCTCGTTGGCGGAGAGATCCAGCTCTCCCAGGTTCTTCAAGGACCGAAAGAGCCCTGGTGGAACGTGGGTCAGGCTGTTGTTTCTCAGGGAGAGGACCCACAGCATGGGAGTCCCACGGAAGGTGTCGGGGGCGATAGACACAACCGGGTTGTCTCTCAGAATTAAATCCGTTAGAAACGTGAGGCCCTGGAACACCTCCGGAGAGAGGCAACGGAGGAGGTTGGAGGAAAGGTCCAGGGACAACAACAGGGTCAGTTTACGGAAGCAATTGGGCGGGATCTCCTTCAGCTGATTGTGATCGAGGCGCAGGTTCTTGAGTTCCTCCAGGGTTTCGAACCAGGATGGGCGCAGCTCAGTCAGCTGGTTTGCATCGAGGAATAAGTCAGCCAGTCTACTGATGGGCGCGAAGAGATCTGCAGGTAGATCTTCCAGGAGATTTCCGGAGAGGTCCAAGGACTGCAGTGCTGGGAGGTTACGGAAGAGGCCGCTTGGAAGGGTCTTCAGCTGGTTGCCAATCAGAGAAAGCACCTGGAGCTGTGGGAGACCCTGCAGGGCCTCCGCACCCAGGTTGGAGATCTGGGTGGACTGAACGGTGATGGTCTTGGTTTCACTGGGGAAGCCGGAGGGAAATTCGCGGAGCGATGAAGAGTTGCAGACAAAACTAGCGTTGCTTTCTGGACCCGGATACTGGGGCAGGCAGGGAGGAACCTGCTGGGTGTAGCTGTTCAGCGACATCACAAGGCAGGCGATCAGAAGAGGTGGAGCTGGAGGCCTCATCCTATGGAGAAGCCGGGAGAGAAAAAAGAGAGGCGGCAACATCTTAAGTTTCCCTTTTGTTCTGACCTAGGCTTCACCAAAATCAAGAAGCAGACTCCTCGTCCCGACAACCCCCCTTTTTAATACGGTAATGGGAATTCCTCTCATTCACTTTCCAGCAAAGTCCCAGAAAACAGTCTTTCAAGAGTGATTCACAACTATAGATGTTGTGTCCCTGACTAACTACAGTCCCCAGTCTGGTCCGCATTTCTGGCGGGAGCGCCAATCACTCCCATTGGTTGATGCCGTTTAACAGCTGCTATAAAAGGAGCTGTCAAACGGCATCAGCTGTTGTCGCC